CTTTAAATCAAATAAATACTATGTTAATTATAATTTTATTAAATATATTGTCTATTTATTTATTTTCAAATTAAGAAAAAAAAATTGAATTGAATTTTCAAGTAGTGTTTCACTGAAATATTTTTAAATTTTATGCGATCTCAAATCGGCAGTATATATTCATACTTAATCTATAGAAGGGAAGAGGATTCACATAATATAATAAAGTATTCAGTCGTATAGAGAAAAATAAAGGAAGCTTTATTCTTTACATACCATAGCAGGCGATACGAGTCGGCCGCGCATTGTTGATGCAAACGACAATGCGCGCGTCACCGACGACGCAGAGATATAAACAAATATCAGTAGGAAGATCGGGCCGGTAGGGGATCTCGGGATACACGATAAGATCGGTAAGATGGGATCCTGTTCGTCGCGCGGGATCGTATAGTACACACTATCGTCTTTCTTATCATCTCTCCGTCCTTGCTTTCTTTCATCGCCATCACCTTCGGCTTCTTCAGGTCACGCCAAGATTGCCGCTAGTTTGTGCAGATTCGTTATGGTCGTCGCGTCGCCCGGCTGCAACCTGAGAGCCTCCTTGTAAGCCGCGGCGGCTTGCTTGTACTTGCCGTTCAGATGTAGGATTGCGCCGAGATTCGTATGACTGCGGGCTTCGTGCGGCCTTAGATTGGCCGCGTGTCGATACCAGACCTCGGCCTCATCGCGACGATCGGCCTGCCTCAGCGCCGAGGCCGCCGCGACCGACAACTCATAATCGGACCGTAACAGCTCGGCTGCTCGTAGCTGCTCTTCGGCAGCCTCTACCAGTCGACCCTGCGACGTCAGGAATAACCCTGGAAAATTTGCAAACAAATATCATTGTACGTGTCGCGAGGCCGCATCGCGTTCAGTCAATTTATACGTCGTGTACTGTTACAATTTGTCAAGTCACTCGACAGATTGTTAATCAACATCGCAATTAACGTTAAACAACAAATTTTTATCATTTTCTTTCTCATCAAGTAATAGCTGTTTCTTGTAGAACCGTTTACAAGAAACATCTATTATAATCTAAAAAAAATATTTTCAAAAAATTTCGTCATCTATCAATTTTTTGAAACTACGTTTTGAATTCCTTCTACATACATCTAAAACGCAAATTCGATAATATATGTAATGTATAACTGTACAAAATTTACATAGTTTTTTACAATATAAAAATAAATATGATGGTAGGTATGGTGGTCTCTTTTATGTATTAATTTTTAAATAATATATATTAAAATAATACAACTTATTGTCAATCTTTAACATCAAAAAATTACTACTTTATAAGATTTCCGTTTCTTATCACCTAAACGATTTGTATGTATTTTACTCCGTAAAGGAAAAGAAAATGTAAATTATTTATATTTATAAAGATTTTTTTTTTAAATAAAGCCTTTCGACTTTTCAAAATTTGTGAATAATAAAATTCTTTTAATTCTTTTTTCAACAGCTAAACGTACTAGCAACATACGAGAATCACCATTTTTTTCCAGCTCTGTTAAGGAACAGAAACTTTTTACTTTGTAAATCAGAGTGTTATTTATTTAATAAATATAAATTTATAACTTTTATTCAATAATTCATTATTTTGTAAATGACTGTATTGATTTCTCTTATAATACATAAATAATAAATTTTATTTTTGACAGACGAAGAAGATATATGTATTTTGAAAATTTTTTTGAGGGCAATATTTAAAACATGAGAACTTTAGAAAACGTGACGTCGAAGAATGCAAATATGAGGCAAAGGAATATTTGTGCATAGCGGTATTTTTAATTTGAGAAAAATTTAATAAAAACAAACATTTTTAATATATGAGGAGATAGAAATTTAATTTGTACTTATTGAATCTCTATTGATTTGAAATTAGACAGACACTATTATTATTAACTAATTAAATGAAAAAAACTCAAGATTACAAATTATTTGTCATCTATATTAATAATAACGTTCTGTTGAGCGAATGGAAAAAATATACACGACAAAAGATTGTTTCCGCATCTGGATTGCAATTTAACGTTTTGAAGCGTCACCGAGTTTCCTCGGAATTTATTATTTTAATATCCGTCGATTCATTCTCGGCATCTCAACTTATCTCCATGTCCTCTAGTATTCAACCTTCTTTTCGATTAGCCTATCTATCCTCCTTCTCATCAAAGATCGACTATTATCCTACAAGACATATTACAATAGTTTATAGCGGCTCGATGAATCAGCAATCCTCTTATATTCTTCTCTCCTTAAACGACTTTTCAAATCTTGGTTCTTTGATTCTCTCCCGATTCCTCCTTGCAAGGTCATTTTGAGGATTCCTTTTCAGAACGAATTCATGGTTCGAAAATCAATTATACCGTTGGTACAATAAGTCCTCGACTGTGGCGACTGATGTGACGATGAAGATGATAAGGGGGAGGAAAAATGATTCTCTTGTGCAGTGCTTTAGGGAGGTATAAAAGCGAGATACTTAAGAAAGTATTTCATTGCTTTAATGATGAATGAAGATTTTCCTTTATCGCCATCTAAGACGACTATAAATACAGAGCATTAGACATTTAAATTGCGATGCAGCCGAAAGGCGGATCATGATCGGCGAGAAGCCAGAGGGATGAAATAACGATGGAAAAAGGAGATGAAGATAATCCTGACGAATTCCGGACAATGTATTCGATGAATTTGCAACGCAGGAAACGACGGCGACGTAGTCGCAATTAAAGGAGCTCTTGGTCGCGCCTTACCGTAATGATGGTGCACACTGGGGTCATCCGGTGCCAATCTGCGGGCCCTCAGGAACCATCTCTCCGCTTCCAGGACACGGCTCGACTAAAGAGAGAGAAAGCAGAGGCGACGCGTGAGCCACCGCGAACTCGACAGTCCTGTCTGTCCCCCCTCCCCTTGGCGGTTGCTACCGGTTGAGGAGCTTGTTCTATTACATTGGACAAGATTTTTGAAGATATATATATATATAGTATATCGATTAACAATAGAACAGCCGAAGATAGGTAATCGATCATAGAATCGTCGAAGGTGCCAATTTGGCTTCTATCCTTGTTTTCGGTTAATGTTATATGTTATTATTAACACCATATCAAAATTGTATTCATATATTTTCAATATTCTGCAATTATATAAAAGCAAAATTTTACTTCACTCAATTTAACAACCGCATATTTCGATCGTTCGCATGCATCAACGATCATCCCTTAGAGGCGGTTTTTAACTCTTTTCATTATATCTCAAAAACTTTTCAAGTTATCACAAAAAAGTTATTACAAAAATTATATAATAAAATCTTTAATTTTTTTATGTATTTATGTTAATAATGTTTTTAAAAAATAATTATTTTCGAAGTTCATATTTTTAACCCATCTGTTATTACCGAAGATTACAATTTGACTATGAATTTGACTGGGGAAATATAAGAATTTTAGATAATGAAAAATACTTGGAAAAAAGATTTGTAGGAAAAAATAGTGTAATTATGCACATTTTGGTTTAGGTATGCACTTTTCCGATAAATGGAGCCGCTATCGCGGTGAAATTTCTAGACTAGCCGTAATTCTTTTCAGATATAACCATAAGTTATACAATTTGAAAATCTAGTTAATGGCAAAAGTGAGAAAAGGTGAAATTACATATTTTCGTTCTCATTTTCTAAATTCATCTATATGTATACATACAAAGTTTCATTAAAATCAGAATTGAACATTCCGAATTGAGGTTCCTTTGTTGTAAGTGCATATTGATGGTTTCAATACAAATTGATTTAAAATACAAATAAAAACGTTTGAATGGAATGGATTTTTTTTGTAAATCAAACTTCTAAAATAATAAAAAGTCAGAGAAAACTATTAACCAATAAATTTATAAGAATTATGAAATTTTAAAGTCAGCGGAGCCAAAAAATGACATCATCGGCCGTTCTAGTGTTAAATTATGAATGTATGTGTATACATACGCTGAATATAAACCTCCAAGGATAATGAAAACACATGTAGACATTAAGAAAAATCAAAGTTTTTAAAATTACAATAGGTAAATAAATAATAACTTTGAATTTTCCTTTCGCTACAGGAACATATTGCAATTTCTATTGACAATTTCGATAGATACAATACACAAAAATTGAGTATCACTGAAAAAATAATATTTAACGCGAGAAACACTAAAATAGATTTACATTCAGCGCTGAATTCTCTAAAAAAAAAAGGAAACCTTTGGTTTACAACCTACAAAAGAATTTTGTTTTTTTGTCAAAATTTTGTCAATTGTGTTGCTCGTTAATACCATCGAAATATAGTTGATATTTGGCGCAAAATAAATTTTTAGAGATGTAAAAGCCGAGAGGAGCGGGGACTTTGTATCGACCCAAATATATTTATATTCGCGCATTGCATATTATGGTAGGAGTTTCTCAAGTGATCACAGCTGATATAGACTTGGAAAGTAGATCGCTCTAAGATGAAATAAAGCGGCGATGGCAGACGACGGCGATCTAAAAACAAAACGATGGCTACTTACGTTCCGTGCCAAAAGTTTCCCGTAAGTGATGTGGGCCGGCACGTGGTCAGGCTGGCTGGCCAAACTCGCCTGAAACCACCTCTCCGCTTCCGCATACTGTTGCAGCCTCGACAGCGTCTCGCCTAACAGATTGTACACGCTCTGAAGGAAGAAAAAGAAATAAAAATTTTTGACGGGTTATTTGTAACATTAATTTTTTTTTGTCATTACTTATTGTAGAAATTTAAGAATTTTTATACGTATGTTCCGAGGCGTTTTTGCTTCTCCACATGTTTTGACCAATCGGAATTGATTTCTTATTTTAAAATAAAAACAAATACACTACTTTTGTATTCGCATACAAAAATTCTTTAGCATACAAGATTAGACATTATTTTTATAAACATCATTGGATTTCTTTGCACTTCTTGAAGAAGTAGAAGATTGCTGTACTGGAAGAAAACCTGATAATAGTTACCACCATAGTACCAAGGGTATTGTTTATTGGTGTAATATTTAGTAAATATTACAAACATAATAATAACCAATCAAATATGATAATAATTACAAAATATTTAGAAAAGTAAAATTAGTATTTAATTGGAATTGAATTAAACGCTATTTTTTATTATATTAACCAAATATTTGATTAAAGTTATTTCATCAAAGCATTTAATAATTATCATCTAGGTTTATTAATATCAACTTTTTTTAAAAATAAGATTTTATATTCGAAACTTAATTTGAAAAAATTCTTAAATCTTAATTTCAGTGTAATTTATATTAGTTACAAAGATCATCAAATTTAAGTCACTTTTCTTCTTCTGCAGACTTCAAGAATTTACTTGAGGTTTAATCTCCATTTTATTTCACGCTACTTGAATATGCAAACATCACATTAAAGAATCCAGTAAGTGTGAACAACGTGTTTGAAAAACATGAGGCGTGAGGGCTATGTTTACAAGAAAATCACGTGTGGATCGAAACGCGAGAAGGTTCGTTAGCGTGCTGGAGAAAATTATGTTAATAAATTCAACAACTAATAAATTTGCTGGCAACTAATTTACAAAGCGTAACAAATTGCTGCAATATATGCGGACGCTTGTACGCGTTTTAATACGCGCGCGTTACAATATAATAATAAGCTCTTAATTACCTTCAATCTAGAAAATGCGATTGCGAATAGCAGAACGCTGAAGTATGCCACTTCTGCGTTAATTAATTACGTTCAAATATATGAGGGATCATATCCAAAATTTTCATTTTCGACAGATAAACTTGTGATATGGTGTTTTGACTTGTACAATAAATAGAAATGACAAAAAGAGAATAATTTGATTTTGATAGAAAATCCTCGCTTTGAAAAGTTTTCCAATTTTTGAAGCTGATAATTATTACTAATAGTTTTTCTAGGAAGGTAAAGTAAATGTTCCAGTGTATAAGCAATCATCAGAGAGAATTTTGAAAGAATTTAAATTGACAAATTCATTCATATAAATTAAGGAAAAGCGCATTAAATATAGGTATACATAAATTGCATTATTTCTTGTAGAATTAAATTTTTGCCTAACGAAAATTATGGCTAATTATTTGTCGCAACTGTTGACAAATTAATATTTCGTTAAAGTTATACAATTTACTGCAATTTGAACAATTTGAATAGCGCACAAATATGTTTAAAGTTCCATCGCTAGAAAAAAATCAAAGAGCTACTTTCTGTAACAATAGACTAACGTACATTTTGTAAAAACGAAAAAAATGAACTTTAAAAGATAAAAAAAATTAACATTTATTTGCACATTACTACAAAAACTTTTTCTTATATATTTTACTTTCATAGGTACTTTCACTTTGGACATGTATCCAAAAAGTTTATTACAAGTTGCAGATTGTGAGTAAAAAATATATATAGATAATATAGAAGAATAAATCAGATGGTTACATTGCTGAATAATAGAAAAAATTAATCTAAATTTGCCTAAAAAACCATAACAGTGGGTTAGTCCAACTTTTAAATAAATAATTCTGTCTCTTATCCATATATTTCTATATCACATGTTTGAAAATGATGACTACGTTGTAAATTAGTTCATTGTTGTAATAAACTCTTCGACTAATTTCGAATTTTGCAAAAAAATAAAATTATATCGTTTCCTTTTTTTCAAAAGTGACACGACTGAAAAAATTATATGTTAAATTTGGAGCTTTTTTATTGTATATTATTATTATATTGTTTATTATTTCAAAAGTGACACGACTAAAAAAATTAAGTTTTTCAAAAAAGACAAAAAATTATTTTTTAATTTAACAGATAATTATTAAATAGTCCAATAATATTAGTCCAATAATATTAGTCCAATAATAAAATAATAGTCCAATAATAAAAAAAATATTAGAATATATTAGATTATTAGAATATCAGATTAATATTTTTAGAAATATTAGAAATACACAAAGAAACATTTACTTAGAAACATGATCGAAATTTTTGTAATTTTTTTGTAATTTTTTGTTATTTCACATCCCTTAAAAACTCACCTTTTTTTAATTGAGTGACTATCTTAAAGTTGATAAATTAGGAATAATTCATAAAAAATAACATAACTACGAAATATTATCAACAGTTTATATTTATCTCAATTAGCTAAAATAATTAAAATATAAAATAATTTATTAAATTAATAAAATTAAAATAAAATAATTTTTTCTTCAAACTTCAAACATCAAAATTGTAAATTTTAACTTGTTCTCTGTAAAAGATTCTCCTTTTTATTTACAAAAATGGCACAATTCAAGTATATGACTCTTGTAGAAGGCATTGTGATGTCTTTGAAAATCTAAACCACACAAATGCTAATTGGCGGACGAAATGTGAAGTTAATTTAACGATTAACAAAATACTGTATATCTAACTCAATCATGATGACAACTCGAAAATCACATTTTTTGAGTTGGATAATTTTTGAAGTAAAGGAATGATATCATCACTTTACGCATGTTCTAAAAAAGAAGTAACAAAAAACGATCGAGAACGTCATGGGGCGAAAATCGAAAACTTTCCCAGGCACACATGAGAGACATCGCATCTCTCTCATCTCGAAGTTGTAGTAGGCTAAAACTTTTATGATTTCGTTCGAGACGAGTCTGCGAACCGTCGGAAGCGACCAATGGGGCAAAGTTTTTCACTAGCGAGGAAAATAAATATAGCGAGGCGATCGAGAGACAGGAGAAGAAGGCGACTCAGTTGTCAGCAGTGACGGAGGCGCATGAGGCGCATGCTTCAGTGCCCGATTGCTGTGAGGATCCGGCTCTGGCTGGAGCTCCGCGACTCACGTGCGTTGATTGTCAGCGCGAGAGGTCAGCTCGTACGTGCGTCGTGTACATCATTAATTATCAGTTATAACCGATATACTTTTATACACATACATTGGTATATTCATATTCTAAATCCTGTTTTAATTATTAAAGGCACTTTTAAGCATATCTATATATATATGCTTAAAAGCGTCTTTATCGATAAAAAAGGATTCAGAATATGGGCCAATGTCTATAGTTGTGACTCATATCAAGTCGAGCGTGCGTTGTATCAGAAGCGGAAACATAAATCGACCTGGTTTGGAAACTTTGGATTAATAACGTCACAACATGTAATGTCAATCAATAGTAAAGTATGTGACATCATCAATATCATTAATCTAATCCAGGTCGGTGATCCAGGTGAAAACTCCGCTCGGTTTGAAAATGCTGTATATAAAAGAAGGTTTCACTTTAATCGAAATTATCAGTAGATATTCATTATTCCTTCTTATTATTTTTTATTTTAAGTTTACGTTTATTTATTTTAGATAATATTAAATTAGAAACATGCTTTTGATTCCGAAAAAAAAAACAAAAAAAATTTGTGTTAATTTTAAATAAATTTATAAATGTTTATGTTTTGATAGTTTGTATTTTTTTTTAAGGACATAAAGGATTCAAAAATGTTTAGCGTTTCAGGCCTAAAAATTTTTTAATCCGGCACTGGTCGTGGGAACTCGTGGGACTCGATTGCTTCGTGATCCAATGGATTCCGCAGTTTTCTCAATTCTGTAAAGATGTCTCGCGGGGAATTGTCGCCACGCGACAATTGCTGAACAATTGTCAATCACAAGAAAAGAAAATTAATTGATATCCTTTAATCCTCCAGATCTAATTTCAAAATTTGTAACAATTATCAACGTTGGATTTGTAAGATCCATTTATATTAATTATTTTAATTTATAATTTGTATTAATTAAAAGATACTTAATTTCGACCAAAATGATGTGAAAAAGATTACTAATATATTTTAATAAGAATAACAGAAATTTACAAACGTAACGTAAAAAGAAAATATTTTTGGATATTTTCAACAAACAGATTTGTAATTGAATGGAATCGCTGTCAACTCTGGAAAATTAAAATACTTTTATAAAATATAAATTATTGAAATTATCGATAATTTATTAAATAAAAAATTCGAAAATAAAGTATCAAAGAAAAGGAATGTTAGAGAAATATTACAAACAGGAATAAGTTTGATACAATAATGTAACATGATCACGCATTATCTCATCACGAAAATATACTGTCGCGCTGTATAGGAATGGAATGAAATAACGATTACATTGCTGCAGATAATAACAAAGTACAATAATGAATTGAAATAAAATCTTGATATACACAATTTTTAGCGTAATTATTTCGGCGGGATTTTCTTGTCTGCTGCCTCTAACGCACGTTATTCGGAAATGCTTTCTATTTCAGGACCTAAACGTGACGTTTGCGTCTACTTTTTGTCTATTTTTTGTTGCGCACAACATACTACCTCGCGTGTTTCAACGCATGATTACGCTCGCGATGAATGTTGCTTCTTTGTGATCGTGATCATTATTTTCTCGCTCGTGCAACAAAAATACACTTTTGAATAGGAAATGTGACAAGTCGCGCAAAGTGCCGTTGCTTCGCATCAAAGAATGCACCGGCAAAGTCGCGAGCACAAGGCAATGCTGTCCCTCATATGTTCGCATTGTTCCGAGTCATTATTCACTTGGACTACTTTTCAAGGATGTTGCGCGCACTTGCTTAGACGTAATGTTCACTCGAGCTCGTGGTTCACAAAGCATTGCTTCTGCCAATACCCG